GTTCTGAGTCGATTGGTCTCACCCTCTATGGGTTCGCTCTATAGATGGTGCATTGGGTCATTTGAATGCAGAGCTGTTTATTTTTGTCGGCATGTTAATAGGACTCAAGAGCTCGAATATTTTGTATTCTACCATAATTGACCTATGATCTCCACTTCCTCTTTCCTCAGTTAACCTTTTGGAATTCTGGTTCTATTACTGCTTGTGTTACACAGAGTGTAGTGTTCAAGATTTCTTGAATTCAAGTCCTAAATTCCCCCTTTACTATATGAGCCTCTCGGTGCCTGAGTCTCCCCTCCACCCTCACAGAACTGGGATGGTTAGAACAGAACCAGGGTTAAAAAGATTCAGGGAGTTCATTCTTTAAAGCCCTGAGAGCCTGTCACACGGTAAAAGCTCAGGGGACGTTAGCTATTGTTTCTGTCACATGAGCCACTAACACCATTTTGAATGAATGGACTTATATTTGTAGTGTTTAATTATCCCCCTTTCCTATTATTGATTATTTATAAAACCAGAGCCACGGGTTGTTAACTCACTAGCAATGAAGATGATATTTTACAAATATTTTTAAACAACTGAGTTATTTGTGTTTTGTATAAGTAGGTTAAGAAGCAGCCACTGTCTATTGTTCCTTTTACCTAGGTATTTCCTGTCGTCGTATATTATTGTTCATGTGTGCTTATTGCCATGCTGGAATCCTGTGAAAAGGATAAGAGCTGGAATGCAAGTTTCACGAGGGCAGGGACCAGCTCAGTCTGGTCCACCACCGTATCTCCTGTTCCAAGTTATGGGGCCTTGCACATGGCAGACACTCAATACTACTTATTAAATGGCCACACGAATGAAAGAAGGGCAAAACCATTCCCCTGTGGGGATAGAGAGAGAAAGGTGATTCACTGTGCCCATTAAAACGGATCCGAATCAGTCAGTTGCAGAAGGATAAGGTCTGTCCCTCAGACCCAGAACGCTTTCTCATGACTGCGGCCCTGGCAGACGGCAGAGTCAGCACATTCTTTTCTACGTGCTGAGGAGAATGCAAGATGGGAAATATGTCCATGGTGTGGACATAGGTGCAGCTGAGAGGGATGTGGGTCAGGCCGGGAGCCAGAACATTTTTACCAGCTCTTTGGGACAAGAACTCAAGTAGTTATCGAAGGGTCTAAGACTTCTGTTTTGGAGATTTATCTGTTTGAAAGCCGTTTGCATTTTTCTGATATTATTTCTTTGTTGTTCATCCTTAGCTTAACTCAGCCAGTACGAAGGAGAAACAAGCAACACCCCTGTGGCTGACCTTTGAAAGGAGTCTTAGTGGGTGGGGGCCATGAGAGAATGTGAGGGGGAAGCCCCCTCCCCGTGTGAAGATGCTCTTTCCAGAACTGGTCCCTGCCCAATCCTCACATGGTGTGTGTTTTAACCATAAAGTCTCTTCCCTTATGATTTTCAGTGACTAGAAAATACCCACGGGAAGAACTTTACTTTAGGCCACGAGCGAGTACTTGCCAGAATTATTCTCCCTCGGTCCTAACTAAAAAATTGTCCAAAATACTTGAAACACATAATTTCAGACATTGGACTGAATTCTGGTACTATAGGTGGCATAAGACTATGATCCTTAAGAAAAAGCAAAAAGTGAGGTGAGCACACCCTGGCCGGGCTTTCTGTCCAACTTAGGCACAGCGAGGGGAGCCCAGAGTCCAGCCATTTCACCAAGGTGAGGAGACAAAGATTGGAGCGAGGGGAGGCCAAGGAGGCTGGAATTCGCAGGGCACAGTATTCGAAAGTAGAGAGCTACACAGAGGAAGTTCCAGAAAGATGGATAGGGCTCCCTTGAGCTGTCGGCTGAACACCCACAACAATCTGTATGCACCCTGCGAGGCTGGCTAGAACAACTTCTGAGGAAGCACCGTTACTAGAGCTCACACAGAGCTGGGAATCGTGTAACTTCCCTCTAGACAGAGAGAGAGAATTACTCAGAGGGATGAATGACAAAGCTCCACTCAGTTAGAACCCCACTTCTGTTCCAAAAAGCTAAAGGTCAAGGGGAAGAATAGGAAAAGGAGGGAAGAGAGAGGAATGTTCTATGAAGGGTTGAGGGGAAACCATTCTAGGAAGAGAAAGACAAGGGGTTCACACATTCGTTTTTATAGGAATGTTAGAATAACTGTTATAAAACAATGTGGCTGAAGAAGCTAAGGGCGCCCATAGTAGAGAAAGTTCTAACTCCCTTCCATATATCAAGTCCACTGCAGTGGGTGGTTTAACTACAGCACACATAGGCCCCAAAGCTTGTTCCTCACACGCATTTGAGATGAGGGCATTAGTAGTGCCTCGTAGACATGAGAGAGGGCAGCAAAAGGGAGGCTGCTGCCCCTCTCCACGGGGGCTGCTTACAGAATGGGAACCATAATGATTTGGGGGTGGGCACCACCAGGCTTTTTAGAGGAGAAAATCAGGATGCCTCCTTCGTGGATTCCAGAAGTCAGCTTTTCTGTGGACTTCCTTTAGCAAATTATTGTGGCCCACAGCAAGTCTGGGGCCATTAGGTATTCCTAGAAGTGCCAGCTATGAGTATGTAGCCAGAACTATGCAGTGGCCTGGGCCTTCCCCATGCACACTCAGGCCCTGAGCCTGGGAAGTCCTGCCTCTCATTAGGCGATGAGGTCCAATGACTTCACAGACCTTGTACTTATCTCTGGATGATCTTCTTACATGTGAATAGAATTCCAGATGGAAGCGCATCCCGGAGCAAAAACTCTGGAGATGTGAGGAAATCGGTGTTTTTTTTCCTTTATTGACTATAAAAGCAATTCTATTATAAGTGAGATCTTGGTAATTGTTCTATGGCTTGGGACCTTTTTTCAGGTGACCAAACAATTCCTGATACATCATGTTCCACCATGTTTTTAGTCTATGCTGTTTATTGCCCTCCAGAAGTATTAAGGCAGCTTCTCATAAGATGTCCATCCTACCACAATCCCCACTGAGAAATGATCACGCCACACAATTCTCACCAGTCTTCCCCATCTTCACCGGGTTTCCATGAGAAAGAATGTGATGCAAAGCTTGTCAGTGACATGTTTTTAGCTTTATTGAAATTCTTTCTTACAAAAGGTCTGATGTATTTTAGGCCAGGCCTAATTTCCTTCAGTCCCTGAAATACAGGTCCATGGTGATTCCCATGTCCTCGTAAGTAGAAATGTAAACTAGTAGACTTTTATTTTCAGGTTCAAACACTAACCAGCATCATTTTTGATATAAAACACGTCTTGTGTTTTCCCAAATGAAAAGACCAAGAATATTATGTGAGTCTTCATTGGGGCTGTAACTGGGTTCTTTGCCAGAACCAACTTGGGAATCTATTTTATTCAATGTGACATCTTTCCACCTTTAGTGGTCTTTTTTATAATACAAACTTTACAATGAGCTGAGCTATGCAGTAAACAGTGCCATGTTTATATATGCATACCTATATTGGCTCTGGGAAAAATGCATGAGTACATGCGTATTATGTAAACATAGCAATTGGTCAGAAGGAGAATCTCTGATCGTTAGGACATTAATGAATAACAAGCATATTTTTAAAAAAGAACGACCAATCACACATATTGGTTTAGTTGTCAGCCAGGAACTTTGTTGGTCCCACACCTGCGGGGTCCCAAGTGTCACTTTCCCCAGGCAGGCTGAGGCTCATATGACAGGTGATGGTATATCCAAGGCCTGTGAGTTTGTGACTCCCTTAAATGAGGTGGGTCTGTGCTCCCTTGCTGCCAGGTAGCTTCCCTAGTCCTGAAACACGTAGATGGCCCATTCTGACCTTCTCTATGTGCCAAAAGCACAAAGTCAACTGGATCTCCTATCACTAGGAGAGGGGTGCAGATAGAGGATTTGCAGAGGCCCAGGGCCTTCTCTTCCTCAGAAATTATAAGGAATCCTCATTTCCTTCCACTTCTATAGGACCCATCAGGGCATGTGTTCTCCTGACCACAGGATCACACCCAAAGAGGCCAAGAAGGTCCAATATCATTACCTCCAAACAGCTCTGAGACACAGGTGACTTGGTTGTAACTCTGACTGCCAGAGTATTGGTCCCTCTCCAAACCACCTTTGCTCCTATGTGGATGGCTGGCCTAGAAGCCAGTCATGTCTGATCATACATTCATCCCCCATAGGTTTTGGAGTATGTAACCTAGTCGCTCAGGTCTTGCACCCAGGATTCTTGCTCACGCCTAGCAAAGACACACAAAGGTTCAGGTGGAAGCAATGGTCTCAAGTCATTCTCAATTTTATGACTTATAAGCCAGGTGAATGGGGCAGTTGAGTGCTACTTGGAGGTAAGGTCTTACTTACCTAAGCTAACATGTCTTGTAGAACTGTAAAGTGGATAAATGAATTTAGCACTCAAGATACTGTGTACCACACATGGTAGTCATTCAATAAATGTTAGTCTCACTCTCCTTCTCCAAACTCTCTCTGAAGGAAGCAGTACTTTGAGCTTCTCCGAATTCAGGTTAATTCCTACAGGTGACTTGCATTTCCTTCTTTCTCCTACAGCTGGCCTCTCCTCTATGTCACTCCCCCAAACTAACGAAAGTGTGCAGAGTAAAGAAGAAAAAAATGAATGAATATTCATCATTCAGTATTGCCTCTTGCTGGTAAGAAGGATGTCAAAACTTTTGGCCTAAGATTTGGGAATTATCTGAAAAGTGAATGATCTGTTATACTTCTCTCCCATTTCCATGGTGGCATTTGTCTTCAACATACTCTCAAGAGCATTCATCTGTAACTAACAGACCAAAGGGAACATGGATATTGAGGCCTGATGCATGGTGCTTAGGAGGCTGGGCAAAATGGCGAGCCGGTTGTCCAGGGCTTCACGAGCGGGACTCTGGTGGAAGGGAGAGATAGGCAGTAGACCCCACAGTTACACTTTGGAGCAGATGTCCAAAAGGAGAATGACCATAGGCCACCATGGTCCTGGGACAGTGATAGGGGACTGCTGGACTGGGCAGGGAACAGGTGTGGTCAGGGGAGCCCCAGGCAATTCCCCTGCCCCAGAAATGCAGGAAAGAGGCTAGGCAGTAGGGCCTGGACCTTGGCTGTGCTCATTTTCAGTGCCTGGTGCACGTCACCCCAGCATCCTCAGCATGTCCGCAGTTTGTCACCCCCCATTTGGAGAATTTGCAGCGGAAGATCGTATCCTCTGTGCCTTTGCAGGCGACGTCATCCATCCAAATCCTCCCTGTGCCTGTAGAGACAAGTCAACACGGTTTCTTAGCAGATATGCAAGAGAGCAGGACAGAAGAGAAACGGGAGCATTTCTACATCTGTCTTTGACCAGGCTGTCCCAGGCTGTGCTGGCAATTCTCAAATCTAGTGGTTCCCATCTGGCCTCTCCACCCTACCAAGACCAAATACTTTCTAGGCTCAGTTGCATGAGGGCAGAATAACGATAATTGATAGTGCTGATGGTAGTATTTACTGACTATCTCCTAGGTATCAGGCATCTCACACACATGATCTTCCTCTGTTCTCGCCATGGTGCTGAATAGATACTAATAAGCCTATCTTACAGATGGGAAAACGCAGGCTCAGAAAGCAATTGGTGTAAGGTTGCTCAGCTTGTTAGTGGAGTCTAAACTCAAGTCTTTACTGCCTTAAAGCCCACACTTTATATGAGACACACACCACATTACTTTTGAGATACAATATGCTGCAGTCTCTGTTGATGAATACTTAGGCGGGGCTGAATCAGAAGGACCATGTCAGATCATGGGTTGGACAGATCCAGCACTCCATAACCAAGTATGTCAGTATCAACGTTACCTCCAGTGTATTGAAGTTTAAATCAGATGGTTCCCATTCTGTATACCCAGAACAGTGGTGCTGGAATGGCAGGGGACCCCCAAATTTAACTTTATAACCAGATATACCTCTAATGACAAGCAGAAGAAGCATTCCTAACCATAATGACTAGGTCAGATCCCAAAATACAAGGTCCTTGAAATAATCTACTTGAGTTTTGCCTGCTGCTAGCCCTGTTCATCCAGCTCTTAAAGGGACTAGCCTGCTGGTCTGAAGTTGTCCGTGCAGGGAGGCTTTAAATGGCTTTCCTAGGATTATACCTGAATAACATTGGCATTGAGGTCCCTCAATAAATGTCAGGGAAATAGGGCAGCTGGGTAAGGCTCCAAGAGGAAATGAAGAGTTTCTCAGAGGTCAGAGGGGTCTGTGGAGAGGGGAGTGGGTTGTAACAGAAGTCACCTGGAGCCCCCACTGATGAATTGGCAGCACCATCACCCATGGTTCTTGTGGGTTCCCTGGGTCAATGGCTGTACCAGGCCCAGACAGTGGGAATCCATTTGGGAGCCCTCTGGAAGGATGACTGAGCTTCAGATCTCTGTTAGAAGCGATGCTTAGAGTGTCACTGCTCAAAGTGTGGTCCTGGTCCAGCAACCTCAGCATCACCCAGAGTCTGTTAGTAAGGCAGAACCTTGGGTCCTGCCCAGGACCTATTGAGCCAGAATCACCTTTTAACCAAGTGGTCACGGATGGAAGTGTGAGAAGCATGGGTATAGAAGGAGGAGGGCTTTGCAATAGTAGGACAGACCTTGATTCAAGTCCCAGCCCCATTTGGGAGAGCATCTCCTTTTAAACTGGGAGGGGATTCCTCAGATGTGAGACTTCTGATGCTAAAACTGCGTAAGTTCTAGGTAAAATGGGATGGTTAGTCCCTCCAAAACCCTAACTTGTTAGGTCTATGAGCCAGTATCCAAAAGCATGTGGTTAGAGGTCATAAACTAGGTTTCAACATTACTGGCTGTGTCAACCCGAGCAAGTGAAATGAGGTAATAAGTAGTCCCCATATTTTGATGCTAGGCCTGCCTCCTCCCCGTCCCATGTCTAAGCAGCCAATCTCTCCTTTTAGAGGAATTGTCAGCACTGGCTATTAAAACCTTAAACCTGTCACTCACTCTCAAACTGCATGAGAGAAACCCTTCACAAAGAATGGCAAGGGAATATCTAAACCATTTTGCAGCTCACTAACTCTACCAAATGAACTAGTATTTTTGTTATGCAGTGATTTGCAGCATCTGTTGTCACAGGACTGCTGAGCAGCGAATTTGGGGACAGAGCTGGGAGGAAGGGCCTCCTTCCTCTGTCTTCTCGGATGTTTTTTTCTCCACCAGAACCTCTTCCCTGGCTGGATACCCTGTGCCTCTTACACAATAAACCCTTTGAGGCTGAGCAATAATTCGCACATTAAATGTCTCACGGAAAACAGCAGTTTACAAATTAGCCAGGAAAAGGCCATAAACCCAAGAGCTCTGTGGAATTAGTCACACCTAAAACAAATAAAGAAGCAAATAAAGGAGACTGACGAATACAGACATGGCTCAAAGTTATGAGCCCAGATGCCAATAGAGGAACACCAAACCCTAGTGGGTGTTTAGCCAGGAAGTCCTCGCTAATGTTCTGTCATGGAAGAGCAAATAAAATGAGAACAGAGTCATTAAATCAGTGGCACTGAATACCTGTAGTTACTGCACAGCCCGGAGGTGAAGGGCCAGTGAGCCTGCAAACCACCTCTGCTCCTTGTCATGTCAGAGAGGCAAGAACTCCCATGACTCTGGTACCAATCATCCCTTTAGCTTCAGAACTGACCTCTGATGGCTCAGAGTGTGGCCTGAGGACCAGGAGCAGAAGCATCGCCTGGGAGCTTGTTAGCAATGCAGAGTCTTGGGCCCACTCAGACTCGAATTAAAGCCTGCATTTTAACGAGATCTCCATAATTCATGTATGCATGCAGGTCTGGCAAGGCCTGCCTTAGATCAGGTCTGCGCCCACGTGAGTCCTCTCTTTGAGCTCTATCAGGTAAGCAGGGTAGATAGCCTCCACCCTATTTTACAGATCAGAAAAATTGAGCAACAGGCTGACATTTTATCTTGAGAGAGAGGGGCAAAATTGGGAGTAGAGGCCAGGTCCTATGACACCGAGAGCAGTAGAGGCTGTTTGAAGGTGATATTGTTGAGGTGAGTCAGTGAATATTTTATTTTATCCTTACTCTTCATTCAACAAATATTTAAGGGCTTACTTCATGCTCAGCAGTATTCTGGGTGTTTAGACTATGTAACTGAGCAGAAAAAGATAAAACAATGATGACAAAAATCTCTGCTTCATGGAACTAACTGTAGGCTTCTGTATGTTTATTTAGAGTTATATTAAAAGAAAAAATGAATTATACTGAATCCAACAGGCTTTTATCGGAGCCTCACACAGAGATCAGTAGGACAGCTACTGAACAGATATTTAAGATATCTGAGGCTCCAGATACTGAACAGATATTTAAGCGATAGGATAACTGAGGCTCCAGAAAGATTAAGTGACTCATCCCATAACTATTAAGGGGAAGAGACCATGACCCAGGCCTCTGACGTCCAGCCAATCCAGTCCTTATTCCTTACAGAACCACAGTACACAATAGGCAGCACATACACCAAGCTGACGGGTGACTGGACCAATGAGGTCCACTGCCTGCTTTTGTAAATAAAGTTTTATTGGAACACAGCCCCACCATCTGGTTACATTTTGTATATGGTTGCTTTCATTCTACAACTGCAGAATCGAGTAATTATGAGAGAGACCATCTTGCCCACAAAGCCTAAAATATTTACTACCTGGCTCTTTAATGTTTGCTGAGTCTTGCACTAAGCACTAAGCCATCTTCCAGTATTCGAATTTTATCTTAGAAAAAAAGGGTAAAAATGGTAATAATGAAAGGATTAAATGGCTAAGTGAACACTCCCAAGTCTATCCACCCCCTCCCACCTGCAAGTCCGTTTGTGTTTGTACCCACCTCCACCTCCATTTCGTCTGTTTCACAGAAAGATTTTTCTCTGCAGGTCCAAGCCTAACTCCCAGCTGTGCTAGATTCCGCTCCCATGCCTCTCCTCCTAGACCCTGCTCTACCCACCACCCGTCCACCTTCTCCATCCACATTCGCTCCCTCTCCAACAGCTCTTGGACCAATTTAAAATTAAAAAACACCCCCAACTTGCTCTCATTTGTGTCTTTCCTTACTTTTCCGCAGGGAAACTGATAATTTGATTATTAAGCCCTGTCCAAGAAATTTATGGTGCCAGACCAGTGAGAGAACTACCAGGGACTGGCACTTTCTTGTATTATATTGGGGAGGATTCAGGTTAGGCAGGTGCAGAAGTTTCTTCCTCCCTTTTTCTTCTCTCTCGCCCTTCCTTCCCTCTCATATTTGTCTAGTAGCGATTATGTCCTAGGCACAGTTCTGGGTTTTGGAGGTATAAAGGTAAAAGACTCAAGATGCTCACACATTTATCAGAGATCAGAGAGTGTGAGAGGTGCTATGATAGAGACGCGCATGCACACACGCACACGCGCGTACACACACACACACACACACACACACACACACACACACACAAACTCTCTGGGAGTATAGCATAGAATGGGGCGGGGGCGGGAAGGGTACAGAGGGGATTAAAAGGAACCGGCATAGCTCCTCTCAGGAGGTAATAACTGAGCTGACTTTAAAAGCTGAATAGGAATTAGGTGGATGAAGAAGGAGGGAAAGGCATTCCAGATAGAAGACACAGCACATGCAAAGAAAAGAGACACGAAACAGCTACGCAAGTTCAGAGAACACAGGTGGATACCTATGGCTGAAAGGTGAGACGGAGGCAGGAGGCAGATGAGGAAGAGCCCTGGGGACTAAACTAAGGGAACCAAACCTGATCCTCGCAATATTTTTCAAACGTGAAAGGATCGAAGCTTGGAGAGGTTAAGAAATCCATTCCGGGTCACCAGCTAGTAAGTGGCAGATGTGGGATTCAAACTTGGGGTTGCCTCTGAACCTGGGCTTTTAACCACTGCTCTACCTTGCCTGAGCTCCTAAGGCAGGAGCAGTGAGAATAAAGAGGAGAGGATAGATTCCAGGAATGCTGGAGAGGTAGACACTGGTAGGATCTATAGGGCCCAGGAAAATAAGGGGACCAGATAAGGGGAAGGGGTTTGGGCAAGAGAGGGAGGAGGGACAGGCCTTTGGTCCTGGCTGGCAAGGCAGGAAGCACATCCAGAAAGAACCAGAGCCAGTGGAGGGAGGGGCTGAGGGCTTGGGAGACCCGGTGGGGCTGAGGAATGGGCACACTGGGGTTGACAGCTGGGGTAGGTGGCTGTGATCCAAGGGTGTCTGAACCTGATGCACAGCCCTGCCCACTGCCCGAAGAGGTGAGCATTCCCTCCCTTCTGCCACAACAGCCGCTTATGGTACGACAGTCCTTACGACGCTGCTTAGGATCTATAAATATGTCTGCCTCCACCTCTAAACGGAACACGTTGAGGTCAGAGACCAGGTTTACTCAGCTCTGTGCCCCAGCACGGAGCCCAGTATCTGGCCCATGGAAAGTGCCTAGAAACTGCCCAGAAAGAAAGGAGCGCAGTGAGGGCTGTGAGAGAGGGCACCGGCCAGGCTTGGCCGGCTCGGTCCCCCTGTGAACCTGTTCATAATGTCTGGCCTGCCTACCTTTCAAGGTCTCAATATCACAAGTCATAAATTATTGGACTGCGATAGGGAAATACCAGTCCAAATCTGATGCGTACATGGAAGCAATCCGGCTTCCCATCGACTAGTTTAAAGGATCAAGTGGCAGTTTAGGAACTTCTCCACATGTCCTGTGATATCAAAACCAGAGGGGAATGGAAGAGGCCACGAAGTCTCAGTTTTAGGCTAATGTTGCCCATGACATTCGAATGGCCAATTTGGCTTCTCTAAGAGTTTATGATTTTTCTCTTCCAAACGTTTAACTTCCACTTACCAGGAAGAAGTTCTCACTAGACTCAAACATTGAACAGTGAGGGCCGTTCCTACTGTTTTTGTTCCTTACGCAAACAAGAATGGCAGTTTTTCTTGAAGAAAACAGGATGAAATCCAGCCCAAAGCTTCAAGTGGGAGGCAAGTACTCTGTCCCAGAGGGCTGCCCTCTGTGGAGCTGGACCCTCTGAACTTCCCGTGCATTCTGACCTTTCAGTAGAGAGGCTAATACGTGTGGGGTCAAGTGCTCACTTTCTGCCAGCTGTCACAACAGATTTCACCAAAAGTCACTTTCAGTCAATGTGATGGTCTTAGTCTGCTCAGGCTGCTGTAACAAAGTACCATAGGCTGAGTGGCTTATAAACAACAGAAATGTCTCTCTCACAGTTCTGGAGGCTGGAAGTCTGAGACCAGGGTGCCCGTACGATCGGGTCCTGGGCCCTCTTCCGGGTTTAGACTACTGACTTCTCCATGTAGCCTCACAGAAAGAGGATGAGGAAACTCTCAGGGGTCCCTTCTATCAGGGCACTAATCCCATCATGAGGGCTCCACTCATGACCTAATCACCTCCCTAAGGCCCCATCTCCTAGTACGATCACATTGGGGGATAGGATCTCAACATATAAATTTGGGGTAGATACAAACATTCAGTTTGTCACAGTGACTAAGGTCTGAGGGACAAGATTCTGAGCAAGAATTGCAACAGCCCATAGTGGACATGAGGAGAAAGGCGGCCGTGGGGAGTGGAGGGTTCCACGGCTAGTCGGACGTGACCTGGCTCCATGTCCCTGTCTGGAAAGGACACCTTGACCCCTCCCCTCATGCCATACCACAAGACCCTGTAGCCATTTAGCACAGTGGGTTGGGCAAAGAAAGAACGTTCTAACCATCAGAATTGTCTGAAGACAGACAGGCTTGCCTGGGGGACGGCGAGCTTCCCATTGCAGGAAGTGTCTGAGCAGAGGCCAGGTGACACACGGTAGGATTGCTGCCCAGGGGGCTTGAGCTTCAGCGAGGAGACCAGTCCTAGGTGTCCTGGGCCTTCTCCTTGCATCCTTTTACTCCGGAGCGCCTTACCTTGCCCGAATCTAGCTGTCCGGGCCACTTCCTGTGCGCCACGGAAGCCCAGCATACGGCACACCACGTCCCCGTCCTTCTTGTCCCAGCTGTCGTCGCACACCGTGCCCCAGCGCCGGTCATGGTACACCTCCACGCGGCCCTCGTGTGGGCCCGAGCCGTTCACCAGCCGGATCATCACCGCCTCCAAGCCACCTGCCGGAAGCAGCTCACAGTCACCGCTCTGCTCCGGACACGCTCACCCACACCCAGGGACCTTCCCTGACTCCCCTCAACTAACCGCCTCCAGTGTAGGGAGGAGGGGGCTGGGGCTACAGCCAAGGCCAAAACTGTGGCCAGTAGAAATCATGGTGTTACCCCTGCCCTTCATCAGCCTCCTTCCCTCCTTATATTTTTTTTTTTTTTTTTTTTTTTTTTTTTTTTTTAGTTTTAGGGTCACAGCAAAATTGAGAGGAAGGTACAGAGATTTCCTACATACCTCCTGCTCCCAACATGACAGCCTGCCCAATTGTCGACATCCCTCCCCAAGAGGCACATTTGTTGCAATCGATGAACCTACATCGACATGTCATTATCACTCAGAGTTAATAGTTTACATTAGGGTCGCTCTTGCTGTTATACATTCTACGGGTTTAGACAAATGTACAATGACATCGCCACCATTATAGTGTCATATAGAATAGTTCAGTACCCTAAAAATCCCCTGTGAGCTGCCTGTAAAAATGCAGGTTCCTAGGCCCACGCAGACCTACTGGGTCAGAATCTTGTTGGCAGCAGTCAGGGATCTGAATGTTTTACAAGTGCCCCAAATGACTTTGCAGTAATCCATATGTATGGGCTGGCACTGGGAGCGACAGGATTCGATGATCTGTAATGTTCCTTCCACTCCAGTCTTCAGGGATTCCAAGGCCATGAAAGAGGTCCAAATTGTCTATTATACAGCTAAAACTCACCTGGAACATGTAGGGTGGAGGTGGGGACATTGTACAGGTGGGTGTGGCAAGGTGACAAGTGAGTGACAGAAAAACCCCTATGTGAACTGCCAGAGAAAACAGCAAATCTGATGGAGTTCTGCTCCTCATAAGTACTGCAATTCTGGATGACTTTTTCTTTCTTTTTTGTAGGCTGGGGGGATTCCTATTGCTAATGACTTTGATTTAGCAAAGACCTTCATAGGCCCCTTGGGGAGATGGCAGGATTAATAAACCCCATATCTGTGCCACATGAGAAAGGAGAAGGATCAGAACTGGCCATGAGTCTGTTACGTGCTGCCTGGGCTGGGGAAACCCCAGCATATTCTATACAGAGAAGCTAAAAAAGTCACCAGAAAACTACACCGTTCCCAAGATGCTCAAGATTACAGGGTGACTACTTTGGAAGGCTCCTTGAAATGTTTGATGTCATTTTCTATGCTTCCTGCATCTCTCACCATTCTCCCCATACATAAGCTCCCCCCAGGTTGTCAAAAAAGGCTGCGAATGATGAGCAAGAGAACACAGAAATCCTGGAGAAGGAAAACCTGGGGAGAAGCTGGAATGCAGAGGCCAGGTCTGAAACAGAGAACCGCCCCCTGGAGCGGTAATGACATGCTAACCTGGAGCCAGCAGCGGCAAATGAGGCCTGGCCCCTGGTTGGGAGCTTGGCCCTGGGGAGGTTGGCCGAGGCTGAGATGTCAGCCTTGATTTCTCACAGACCTGCCTCGCCTCTGTCAGCACCCTGTCACAGTGGCAGCAGGCCACATCAGGCCAGGAGGCCTCCAACAGAAGCCTCAGTGTGGGGTCATAAGTAGAGGGAAAGTGGCAGGAGGATGCTGTGGTTCTGAGCAGCCCAGGCAGAGTTCAGGGTGTCGGGTCAACATAATAGGAAGAGGCTGGTGGAGGGGGTGGGGTGCGGGTAGTCAGGACTCACGTTCAGACATTTTCCCTTATTCTCTCTGCCCTGGTCAGCCTGAACTTGCTCTGTTCATGTCTTCTTTTAGCCAAATAAGTGACTGACCATCTTTTAGGAGCCTGATCCTATTCTAGGAGCTGTGGGTACATCCATGAACGATATTTAGTGGGAAGGACTAGCCATAAAACTAACAAACAAATACAAATATAACTATGGCCAAGTATTGACGAGTGCATAGGAGGAAACAGAGGCACAGAAACGAAGTGGAGGGTGAAGGGAGGCGCCATCTTGGACAGGGAGTTTGGGCAGAACTTTTCCTTGTACACCCAGATGTTTACAGGGTAGGGCCTCTGTTTTTAGCTCCTGTTGCCCCAGATTTGGAGTCAGAGGTTCTCCCCCTTTACACAGAAAAGCAGACAGAGAAGAGTCCCTTGAAATCAAAGCTGCAGATGTCACCATTACTTAGTGCATGGTGCTACTTTTACCTTTGGGCTTTTTCAACCATCACATGATGATAAGCAGAACCACCCAGATGCTCTTAGGAACCTGAGCTGAGGGAAATGGAGAGAGCTGAGCAGAAGCAGAAGCAAAAAGAGGCAGGGACCGCGGAATTATCGAGCCATGTTGGAGATGAGACACTAGACTGGGAGGACAGGAACCCCTGGTGCTGTGGCCCCAGAACTGCCTTGGATCTGAACGACCGTCCCATTCCACGCTCTGCAAGGCCCGCTTGTATTATGAATCCTGATCGTCTAAAGTTTTCCCAGGTGTCCTTACTGTAAGTCCACCCATCGAAGTGACCCAATGAGTCTCTGGTCTTCGCCAGCAAAAATACCCAAAGAGAGCACCTGTGAATCCCACACACCCATCTAAGGGCTGCTTAGCTACTTGCCTCTTGGGCCCTGGGTGGATTTGGGAATTTGGATGGAGGAAAACAGGGTGGTGGTGATCCCTGTGGAGAGGCAATAGGGGAGAGTGGGAAGAGGCAGGAGCTGGACTCAGGCACAGGGTTCAAATTCTGATTTCACTATATTGGCCAGATGTGACCTCTCTAGACCTACCCTTTTCTTAAAATGGGTACAGCGGTGGCAGTTGGGAGCAATAGTACTTGTCAAGGGCTTGGTACATCATGGGCACCTCTCACTGTGAGCTCCCATCCCTGGCCAGTCATTGCTTTGCCCAGCAACGTGTAGGTCAGCTCTGAAAGTTCTTCATGCATTGCTAAGGATGGCTTGGATACAGCATCCTGAGCAGGGATGTATCCTAGACAGCTTCTTTGCGAAGCAACCCTGCTGCTTAAGGAGTAGGAATGAAGGGAGTTTATTCCTCCTATTGGATTAATCTCCTAACGTCCTCTGCTCTGCCCAGGACACAGTTCCTGGCTCCTTAGCATATTAGGGGAGGGAGACATGGGCATCAGCAGAATACTGACTTCTGATGTCAGCATCTGTCTGCTCTCGTGTGGGCTGGATGTGATTCGTTAAGCGAGGCAGCTCTGGAATGGTCCAGGAACTTGGTGCTAAGGCTGAGGCCACTGTGGGGGTCCTGGCACAGACCTTATAAAACTCTTATTTTGAGAAGGAGTCTCTTCTCAAAGTGAATGTTTGTTTTCTTTGCCTTGTAAATATATATGTAGGAAAAGCAAGGTCCTAGACAAAGCAGGCCTGGTCCACCCTAGACTCCTCTGGCTGAGCCCCAGAGCTGGGAGGGGCTTGCACCCTCCCTCCCACTTCAAACACAGGAATCCTCTCCATTCTGTTCCAGGCCTGACAGCTGCTCATCCTGCCTCTGGGAATGGAAGGGAACTCAACAGTATCTCCTCGAAATCCGTTCCAGGATTTAAAAACCAGCATCTGGTTTCATTCATAGAGCGCAGGCATCTCCAAAGAGGCTCCAGTGTTTTTTTGTTTTGTGTTTTTCATCCAATGAGTCGCTACCTTGTTTTACTCTGTATACTTAGGGTTTCGTGCTATAATTGGGGAGTGAGATGCAGAATGACTGACTCTGTCTTTCGCCAGCATCCGGCGGGAGAGCACAATCAGGAATAGCTTCCTTACTCGGCCCCTCAGACAGTCTGGGAGGACAGCTTAATGGCCAGTGGCTACCATCTCAGAACTAGTTTCCAGGGCTGGAGTAGCCTTAGACCTACCTACTACCTGCAGAGCTTGTCTACACCTGGCTCGGAGCTGCCCTCAAACCCAGCCACAACGAAGCCAAGTTCTGGGCGCTACCCAAGTGAGATTTCATGTCAAAGATGGACGGCGAAGGGAACAAATGTACACTCAGGTCCCACTACATGTCAGACACTATGCAAAGTGCTTCATTCATGTATTTTCTCATTTATTCTTCGTAATTGTGCCAAGAGTTAGTTATTATGGCTCTCACCGAACAGAGGAGAAAACAGTCTCAGAAAAGTCCAGTAATTTGCCCATGGTCACGCAGCTACTACAAGGGGCGCTTGAGAATCTACCCCTGTATGGGGATAGTCTCCAACAGTTCACTTGTGATGTAAAGGCACCAGCAGGGTGGACAAGCACTGTTTGAAAGGATGGATCTGGGATCGAGCCCCAGCCACACAGCTGTCAGGCCTTGTGAGTAAGGTGCGGAGATGATGCCTCCTCTGGGAGAGTGTCCCTGACCTCTGGCCTCAGTATGCGCTCCCCATATATGAGAAATGTTATACTGCCCTTCCCTCTTCCAGGTCTCTCTGTTCTCACTGTGAAAGTGACAGCCACAGCACCCTTGTGGTTCCCATTTGCAGCCCCACCCGCAGGCAGAAAGCCTGGCACATTGCAGTGCCCCAGTAACTGTACTGAATGAGCGAGTGAGTAAATGAATGAATGAATGAGTGAGTGAATGAGTGGGATTCGCAGCCCTTTGAGGGGCTCTAGAAACAGAACTGATCCCTAAATCCCCCAGAACCTGCTCAGCTGTGCATCAGAAGGGCCCCAAAGCCAGGGAGGAGGGAAACCCAGCCTGAGCCTGAAGCGGCTCCTTTAGGTTTGTTTTCCTAACTTCCATGCCCCTGCCAAAGCGAAACAAGTCAAAAGAAAGGAAGTTGTGAAGAATAGAAATAAACACATGGGGCTGGGAAAATAGGCTCCGATTTTCTGCAGCTGCAAAGTAGAGCCCCGGGGATAATCTGGACCAGCTGCCCATTAAGGAAGTTGAATTTTTATTCTCTTGTGAAGAAAGAACTCCCCATGCCCCCAGCCGCCCGCGGCCCAGGGGCCCTGCATCCCTGAGGTGGAGGAAATTGGGCTGTGTCCTTCTCTGGATATGACATTCCGCTTTTCCCTGACAAC